CCAGGAATGCAAGGATTCTTCAATATATGCAAATCAACCAGTGTGATACACCATATTAACAAATTGAAAGATAAAAACCATAAGATACTCTCAATAGATGCAGAAAAATTCTTTGACAAAATTCAGCACCCTTTATGATTAAAACACTTCAAAAAATGGGCATAGAAGGAACCTACCTCAACATAGTAAAGGCCATATATGATAAGCCTACAAAAAACATTATTGTCAATGGTGAAAACTGAAAGCATTCCCCCAAAGATCAGGAACAAGACAAGAGTGTCCACTTTCACCACTATTATTTAACACAGTGCTGGAAGTCCTAGCTACAGCAGTCAGAGAAGAAAAAGACACAAAAGGAATCCAGATTGGAAAAGAGGAAGTAAAGCTCTCACTGTTTGCAGATGACATGATACTGTACATAGAAAACCCTAAAGATAGTATCAGAAAATTACTAGAGCTAACAGTGGATTTAGCAAGGTTGTAGGATACAAAATCAACACATAGAAATCACTTGCATTTCTATATACTAACAATGAAAAATCAGAGAAATTAAGGAATCAGTCTCATTCACCATTGCAACAAAAAGAATTAAATATCTAGGAATAAACTTAAATAGCCAGGAGAGATAAGAAAGGCTTCCTCAGTGATCAATGCAAAGAAATAGAGGAAAACAACAGAATGGGAAAGACTAGAGATCTCTTCAAGAAAATTAGAGATACCAAGGGAACATTTCATGCAAAGATGGGTTCGATAAAGGACAGAAATGGTATGGACCTAACAGAAATAGAAGATATTAAGAAGAGCTGGCAAGAATACCCAGAAGAACTGTACAAAAATGATCTTCACGACCCAGATAATCATAATGGTGTGATCACTCACCTAGAGCCAGACATCCTGGAATGTGAAGTCAAATGGGCCTTAGAAAGCATCACTACAAACAAAGCTAGTGGATGTGATGGAATTCCAGTTGAGCTATTTCAAATCCTGAAAGATGATGCTGTGAAAGTGCTGCACTCAATATGCCAGCAAATTTGGAAAACTCAGCAGTGGCCACAGGACTGGAAAAGTTCAGCTTTCATCCAGTCCCTAAGAAAGGCAGTCCCAAAGAATGCTCAAACTACTGCACAATTGCACTCATCTCACATGCTAGTAAAGTAATGCTCAAAATTCTCCAAGCCAGGCTTCAGCAATACGTGAACCAAGAACTTCCAGATGTTCAAACTGGTTTTAGAAAAGGCAGAGGAACCACAGATCAAATTGCCAACATCCCCTGGATCATTGAAAAAGCAAGAGAGTTCCAGAAAAACATCTATTTCTGCTTTATTGACTATGCCAAAGCCTTTGACTGTGTGGATCACAAACTGTGGAAAATTCTGAAAGAGATGAGAACACCAGGCCACCTGAGCTGCCTCTTGAGAAACCTGTATACAGGTTAGGAAGCAACAGTTAGAACTGGACATGGAACAACAGACTGGTTCCACGTAGGAAAAGGAGTATGTCAAGGCTGTATATTGTCACCCTGCTTATTTAACTTATATGCAGAGTACATCATGAGAAACGCTGGGCTGGAAGAAGCACAAGCTGGAATCAAGATTGCCGGGAGAAATATCAATAACCTCAGATTTGCAGATGACACCACCCTTATGGCAGAAAGTGAAGAGGAACTAAAGAGCCTTTTGATGAAAGTGAAAAAGGAGAGTGAAAAAGTTTGCTTAAAGCTTAACATTCAGAAAACTAAGATCATGGCATCTGGTCCCATCACTTCATGGGAAATAGATGGGGAAACAGTAGAAACAGTGTCAGTCTTTATTTTTTTGGGCTCCAAAATCACTGCAGATGGTGACTGCAGCCATGAAATTAAAAGACGCTTACTCCTTGGAAGGAAAGTTATGACCAACCTAGATAGCATATTTAAAAGCAGAGCCATTACTGCGTTAAAAGCAATTAAAAGACATTAAAAGCAAAGCCAACAAAGGTCCATCTAGTCAAGGCTATGGTTTTTCCCATGGTCATGTATGGATGTGAGAGTTGGACTGTGAAGAAAGCTGAACGCTTAATTGATGCTTTTGAACTATGATGTTGGAGAAGACTCTTGAGAGTCTCTTGGACTCCAAGGAGATCCAACCAGTCCATCCTAAAGGAGATCAGTCCTGGATGTTCATTGGAAGGACTGATGCTGAAGCTGAAACTCCAGTACTTTGGCCACCTCATGCGAAGAGTTGACTCATTGGAAAAGACCCTGATGCTGGGAGGGATTGGGGGCAGGAGAAGGGGATGACAGAGGATGAGATGGCTGGATGGCATCACCGACTCGATGGGCATGAGTTTGAGTAAACTCTGGGAGTTGGTAATGGACAGGGAGGCCTGGCGTGCTGCGATTCATGGGGTCGCAGAGAGTCAGGGTCGCAAAGAGTCGGACACGACTGAGTGACTGAACTGAACTGAACGGAATTGAAGGAGACAAAAGAACTGTACACAGAAAGTTACAAGACACTGATGAAAGAAAGATGACAGAAACAGATGGAGAGAGATTCCATGTTACTGGGTAGGAAGAATCAATATTGTGAAAATGATTATACCACAGAATGCAATCTACAGATTCAATGCAATCCCTATCAAATCACCAATGGCATTTTTCACAGAACTAGAACAAAATATTTAACAATTCATATGGAAACACAAAAGACCCTGAATAGCCAAAGCAGTCTTGAGAGAGAAGAATGGAGCTGGAGGAATCAACCTTCCTGACTTCAGGTTATACTACAAAGCTACAGTCATCAAGACAGTATGGTACTGGCACAAAAACAGAAATATAGACCAATGGAACAAGATAGAAAGCCCAGAAACCCATGCACCTATGGGTACCTTATTTTAGACAAAGGCAAGAATATAAAATGGGGCAAAGACAGCCTCTTCAATAAATGGTGCTGGGAAAACCAGGCAGCTACATGTAAAAGTATGAATTTAGAACACTTCCTAACACCATACACAAAGATAAACTCAAAATGGATTAAAGACCTAAATGTAAGACTAGAAACTATAAAACTCTTCGAGGAAAACATGGGCAGAACACTCAATGACATAAATCAAAGCGAGATCCTCTATGACCCACCTCCTAGAGTAATGGAAATAAAAACAAAAGTAAGCAAGTGGGACCAGATTAAACTTAAAAACTTTTGCACTGCAAAGGAAACTATAAGCAAGGTGATAAGACAACCATCGGAATGGGAGAAAGTAATAGCAAATGAAACAACTGACAAAGGATTAATTTCCAAAATATACAAGCAGCTCATACAACTCAATGGTGAAAAAACAAACAATCCAAACAGTGGGGGAAAAGACCTAAACAGACACTTCTCCGAAGAAGACATACACTTGGCTAATAAACATGTGGAAAGATGATGCTCAACATCGCTCATTATTAGAGAAATGCAAATCAAAACCACAATGAGATACCACCTCACACCGGTCAGAAGGGCCATTACCAAAAAGTCTACAAACAGTAAATGCTGGAGAGGGTGTGGAGAAAAGGGAACACTCTTACACTTTCGGTGGGAATGTAAATTGATACAGTCACTATGGAAAATGGAATGGAGATTCCTTAAAAAACTAGGAATAAAACCACCATATGACCCAGCAATCCCACTCCTAGGCATATACCCTGAGGAAATGAGGGTTGAAAAAGACACATGTATCCCATTGTTTATTGCAGCACTATTTACAATATCTAGAACATGGAAGCAACCTAGATGTCCATCGACAGATGAATGGATAAAGAAGTTGTGGTAATGTACACAATAGAGTATTACTCAGCCATAAGAAGGAATGCATTTGAGTAAGTTCTGATGAGGTGGATTAACCTAGAACCTATTATATAGAGTGAGGTGAGTCAGAAAGATAAATATCGTATTTTAACTCAAATACAGAATCTAGAAAAATGGTACTGAAGAATTTATTTATAGGGCAGCAGTGGAGAAACAGACACAGAGAATAGACTTATGGACATGGGGAGAGGGGAGGAGAGGGTGAGATGGATGGGAAGAGTAACATGGAAACTCACATTACCACATGTAAAACAGACAGCCAACGGGAATTTGCTGTATGGCTCAGTAAACTCCAACATGGGCTCTGTATCAACCTAGATGGTGGGATGGGGAGGGAGATGGGAGGGAATTTCAAAAGGGAGTGGATATAGGTATACTTATAGCTGATTCATGTTGTGGTTTGACAGAAAACAACAAAATTCTGTAAAGCAATTATCCTTCAATAAAAAAGTTTAAAAAATGGTGTTTGTAAAAGGTTTATAAAAATGTAATTTTGTAATAGGAAAGGGCCGAAACAGGAAACAATACTAAAATCCGTAAAGGAGAAGGTTTAGTTTCACTAAAACTGGTTTGGTAGGATGTGTGCTAGACCTTTCAATGCATTTTAATTGATGCTGATGAAGAATTGCCTAATTTATATGATCTTTTCCTAAGTTGCCTCATTTAAGCATGTCTTTCTGAAGCCAGCTTTTCTCTTGTAAAAATATGTTTTAGGCTCCTTCATATGCATATAAAGTTATCCCATTTTAAGTGTTGCACCATTTTGCAAAGTATTCCATACTATGGCTTATATAATCGATCTTTCTTTCATGTACATTTAGGTTACTTACAATTTCTCCCTACAATGAAGCATATCTTTATATGTGCTTCTTTGTATTTGGAAGTTATTATTTCTCTAGATTGAATTTGCTGAGATAAAAGATATGCACGTTTAAAATTTTGCTAGATACTGGTACTCCCCATACAAGCTGCACCCAGCTTATACTTCACCATAAGGTATGAGAGTACTATTTCCTCCTACTACTTGCAACAGTGCATAGTCTCAATCTTTTAAATATTTGCTACTAATGTGGACAGAAGTTACTCACCTATATCTTATATAGTCATAAATAGATGAATATCAATAAAACAAGAGAATGCTAAATAAACTAAGAGAAATGTGTCATTTGCTTCCAGGTCAGTGCTGACAGTTGCTTGTGAACAGACTGAAGTTCTACTTTTTGATCCTATATCTTCAAAGCACATAAAAACACTTTCTGAAGCTCATGAAGACTGTGTAAATAATATAAGGTTAGTATTACAGTGAGAAAGTAAACTTTATTAATGTGACTGAAAATATTCTGTCTTGGAAGTTAGTGAAAATTTATAATGCCTTGACCAGCAGTACTAGATGGTACACATTTGTGAACTGTGCAACTTATCATTTTAATTATAAAAGTTACTGTTAACCATTTTGGATTGGATCTTTCTGAAATGCATTTTCACTTCCATATGATTTTCCCTTTTCTCTTTGTGTATTAGGGCCATCATTATGAACTTCAGCCATGTATTTTGTTAGTCCTGTAATGCTTTGGGGCAGTGCCATTGCTTAGCCTCTCTCACCGCCAGCCCCCAGATTCAAACTGTTGAGGGGAAAAAAAACAGATAGGCACAGAGAACTTCTTTATTGTTTGAAGCTCCTTAAATTCTCAATAATGTGGGAAATAACAGTTGTATAATTTGGTGGACTAATACACAGTCATTAAAATGATGATTACAGATGCTGCATATCACCATGGACAAATGCTTGAAATAGTACAGGTTAAAATCATAAAAACTATAGATATGACATGATGCAGAAGAAAAAGATTAGAGAAAGTATTTTAAAATGCTTACAGTGGATGTGTTAGAATGAATGGATTATGAGTAATTTTCTGTTTTCAAAACTATATAATGAGATTATATGACTTTCATAATGATTACTTTTAATCATCAAAAAGAAGAAATGCTCCAAACATATACAACAGTAGATTAAATAGCACAAAAGATACAGCTAGGCTCTGAAACAGCATAAACATCTTTGTGGCCGTATGGCCAGACTGGAACACACATGAAAAGCTGTTACAGAGTGGAAGACACAAGCCCACTGGGTTTTCAGGCTGGCACTGACATGTAATAGTTTAGCGCCTGTGAGGAATCAAAACTGCTAAAGTATCTCATGTGAGGCAGGAACCAGAGCCAGAATTATTACACAAAGCCAGGGGTTTAGTTGGAATGTCTGTCCCATTTGTGAAAGGGTGAAAAGAGGAAAAAACTGTTAAATTACCTGGGGCTGTAGCTTTTAGCTGATGAAGATTTATTTAAATAGCCTCATGACCACGAACTGAGTGAAGCCATTGCTGAGTCGGTGATTGAAGGTACATATGTGATAGCTCCTGTAGCATCATGACACTGGAGGCTTTGATCTCAGTGAGACCTAGTAGTGGATTTGGGTCCAGAAATCCAAATAGGACAACTATAAAATCATTAAATAGGAAGAGAGAAAGAAATTTTTGTTTTCATCTTTCTTACTCAAAAGGAGTCTACAACCAAAATTCTAAAACTCATTAAGATAATCTAGTATTAGTATAACAAAATAAGCAACTGGAACAGGCATTTTCTCCAGATGAAATTACTTTTATAGACTAGTCCAACGAAGACTTTATTTTAAAAAATAAATTATTTATTTTTTTTGACTAGGTAATACATGCACGTGGTACAAAATTCAAAGGTACAAAAGGGTAAACAGTGAAAAGTAAGTCTGTCTCCCACCTCTGTCCCCTAGCCACCCAGTTCCTCTCCCCAGAGGCAACCACTATTACCAATTTCTTGGTATCTTTTCTGAGATAGTTTATTATGCATGTACAAATATATATATACATACACTCATAGACACACACACACACATATATACTTTTATATAGATGGTACCATTCTACCTTGGCATTTTCACTTAATGACATATTTAGAGATCATTCCATATTTGTACCCATGGGATGATTTTACTCTTTTTAACAGCTGCATAGTATTCCATTGATTGGAAGACACTTTAAAGCATCTTTAGGATGCTTGAATAAGTTAACAGAAAAGAAAAAAAAGTTAACAGATACTTTCCATTAATAGAGAGCTCAAAATTATGAAACAAAAGAGATGAAACAAGAATAGGTTAATATGGAAAAGAAGTAACTAGACCTTTTATAAATTAAAAATATAGTTGGTATATTAAAAAACTTAATAGATGGGATAATTATTACCCTGTACACCACTGATGAGAATTAATGGGTTGGAAAATATTACTAAGAATTTTACCTAGAGATTAATTGAGATATGTAATATATCAACTATAGAAAAAAAAAGTTGCAGAGATTAGAAGAGAACTAAATTTTGAAGACACAAAGGCTGAGAATTTTTTGCATTGAAGAAAGACCTGAATTCTTGAATGAAAAGTAAAATGTAATGTTTAGTGGGTTAAACAAAGATAAATTCACATCTAGACAGGTTGTGATGAAACTCTAGGATATCAAAAGTAAAGAAACTCTTACCACCAAAGTTAGAAGCCAGATTATCTACTGAGGTATTATAATTAAACTACCTGGTTTATTATCACCAGTAGTTGATGCTAGAAGAAAAAGGAGTAATATCTTAAATATCAGTACTAAGTCAAAATAATATTTTATACCATTTCATATCCAGATAAATTTTTATTCTAGGATAAATAATTTCAATTTTAATATATATTATAAATATTATTATCAATAGAAGATAGATCAGGATTTTAGGGGGAAGAAGGTGCATTTAAAACAAAGTTAAAATGAAAACTCTAGATTAGCACTATCCAATACGATTATAATGTTAAATTAAAAATTGTGTAGTAGTCACATAAAGACACTAAATTAATTTTTAATAATTTATTTGCTCCAGTATGCCTAAAATATTATTTCAACATGCAATCAGTATAAAAAATACTGAGATGTTTTACTTACATTTTTTTTTTCATGCTAACTCTTCAAAATCCAGTGTATACTTTAAACTTGGAGCACATCTTAAGGCAGACTGGCCACATATTAAGGACTCAAAAGCAACATGTGTCTAATGGCTACCAAATTGCACAGTGTAGCTCTGGATGGTGACAACAAATAGCTTGTATGGGTGGAGGAGTTTTGTTCAGTGGGAAGGTGTAACATTTAAGGTTCACATCATGTTTAGGAAGAGGATAGAAATACTAAGTAATTTCTGACTCTTTCAGAACAATTTATAATTAAATATATGATAAAAAAATTAAAATAATAAAAATTTCATTTGTAGCTTTCAAACCAGCAAAGTGGGGCAGGGGGTGGCAGAGACTATTAAAAACTTGATCAGTAAACAGAAGGAAAGCTTAAAAAGTAAAAATAAGCAAAGGAAAGGAAAGATAAAAACAAGAAGTAGAAATAGGTCCAAAATATTAATAGTCTACATTTACATATAAATGAATTGATCTTCTTTATTAAAAGACAGATAGAAATTTGAATAAAAAACAAGATCACACATACTCTTTATGGAGATACCAAAAATAAAACTACCCAGAAATGGGAAAAGAAAATTGATGTAGGTTATCCCTATTGAACAGATGGAAGGCCAATGGCTTTCTTTAATAAGGATAAAGGGCAACTACATATTAAAAGAAAAATCCACCAAGCATATATATAATAATCATGAACTTGAAATTAAGAAAGCAAAAACAGAATAATAAGGAATTACTAATACATGTCTATGGAGAAGGAAATGGCAGCCCATTCCAGTATTCTTGCCTGGAAAATTCCATGGACGGTAAAGCCTGGTAGGCTAGCTTCCACGGGGTCGCAAGGAGTCGAATACGACTGAGCGAGACCTCCTCCAATACATGGCTATAATCATAGTAAGAGATTTTAATACAGTTCTGTACAAAAACTGGTAAATCAACCAAATAAAAATTAAGTTGTAAAAGATTTTAAATACTTTGAATAACCTTTCTGCTACAAACAGAAATGTTGGATAAATTTTTTTTAATATTGTTTTAATGTAGAGTTGAGCTGATAAGAAAGGAAGGACTCCTAGGGCCAAAAATGAAGTGGAAGCAAGAATGCAAAGAAGTAAACATGTATTCAGCTGGCTTTTACCCTGGAGGCATCTGCTAAATGCCTGTGACTCTTTGAGTTTCTGTTTTGACAGGTATGAGAAGTACAAAGGACAGGAGAGTTAATTCTACATCCAGTTCAAGGTGAGGAGTCTAGTAGAAAACTCTGCATAAGACTGGGGCTACAAATTCTGCAAAGGGCTACAGTTTCAGCATAAAGGGTTTCTAGAAATAAACCACCTTGTTCATCTAGACTGTGGCATTGGGTAGAGGCATGTCAGAAAATCTCTGTAAATTGCTAACCACAAGCTAGCCTTCATGGAGCCTTCACACTGCCATATGGTCCAGACCCCTCCAGCCAGCAATTTTAAATTGGTTCCAGCTTAGTAGTGCTGTGGGGTACCTGTAAAAAGAAATGCAAATCTTCTCTGGAGGAGAAAACTCAGTATTATAAATTCAGTTCTTCCCCCAAAGTAGTCTGTGAATTTAGTGCAGTTTTAATAAAAATCCCAACAGGATTTTTTATTTCTAGTTTTTTAAAAAAAGGGTTTTTTTTTTTAACTTGATATAAAGTACATACTTAAAAATAAAGCACCAAGAATGTCTGAGAAAACTTTGAGGAAGACTGAGATGATAAGAGAACCCACCCCTCCATATATCAGGCCTTATCTTAGGACAGGGATAAATTAAGTGACCAATGAGATGAAATAGAACTTCAAGAAACAGACACATGCATACATGAAAATTTGATTTATGACAGCAGGTTATTTACAAACCAGTGTGGGTAAATGGAAAAGAAATTGGTTTTGTGTGTGTTTGTGTGTGTGTATATATATATATATATATGATGAAAATGAAATTAGATTTCTACCTCATATCATAACTAAAAATAACTGCCAGTTTCTCTCTTTTTAGAAGAAATATAGAATATATTTATATTCTAAATACAACAAAGGATTCTTTTTAAGACACACCAAAAAAGTAAACCATTAAGGATTGATAAAGTCACCTGTATTAAAATTTAAAACTTTGTTGTAACTAAAGACATAACAGTGTGAGAAGATGAGTGATAAGCTGGTGGGAGAAGATATTTTCTATGCACATAGCCAAGAAAAGGATTAGTATCCAGAATATATGAATAAATTAGCTTAGAGCAAAATAGGCAGAGACTCACATA